TCGGAGTGGTAACCAAGACGAGTCATACTCGTGTCTCGTCCCTAGATGGCGTTGCTCGGGGTGCTGGGTAGGTAGATCAGACAATAGATGTGGTTCGTAGTGCTGGGTGGAGGTTCGTAACACGGATGAAGGACTTTCTAACATACGACTCCAGGCAGGAACAAAGGTGTCGACAGCTTCCATTACTGAACTTCAGTATACAGACGACCTCACCCTTGTCGCTCACACTGAACGCGACCTACAGGAGATCCTGAACACCTACACAGATGCGTATGCACACTTCGGCCTTGAGGTGAATGTACATAAGACTCAGATTCTCTTTCAGCCTGCCCCTGGTTCAGCCACACCTCCACCATAGATCCATCTTAACGGCACTACCCTCTATAATGTTACCCACTTTCGGTATCTCGGCTCCCACCTGTTCACCAACGCGGACATCGATGAAGAGATTCAAAATCGGATCAGATGTGCATCTCAAGCCTTTGGCAGACCTGACTCATGTCTTCAGCTGTGGAGCTGAAATTATCTACAAAACTGCACGTATATCAATCAGTAGTCCTCCCCACCCTGCTGTATGGCATCAAGACATGGGGAGGTTCTAGAGACGCCTGAAATTTTTGTCTTCACAGCTAAAATAAAATACGTGAAAAAATTCAGCGATGCTTTAAAAACGAACAAAGTTTCAGTTCCAAATAAAACTTCCCCAGCTCTTCTTAAACAGACTCACAGCCAAAGTCCTGATAACTGTGACGCTTTAAAATTAACTCGATGTAACTTACTATTTTTTTTATTAAACATCAATTTCATTGTTAATCAAAAAGATAAACATTTGACATTTGATAAATAATAATAAACTCGACCAGCCAACAATGTTAATGAATGACGAGAGAAAAGATATCATTATTATTTATTACAGTCATAGAGAGGAATTGTATCCGGGAACAAGAGTCACGACCAGTGGAGAAAAAGAACAGTTTTACCAACACTGCAGCAGCCACACTTTCTACTCCAGGAGGTGGTGACCGTGTTCAGTGGTCTTAATAAAATTTAAACACAACATTATACCAGTCAGTTGAAGGTGTTGTCCTGCCCGCTGGAGTCAATGGAGTGAGTACTTTAACTTCTATGATCAAATTAAATTGTATTGTAAAAACTAAAGACAAAATACCATTATGTCTCTAACAACAATGATGTCGTTCAGGCACCTTTATGGAAAAAAAAATCACGGACGATAGATGAACCTCTTGTACACACTGTATTGACTAAGCCGATCCTGAAACAAAAACGGAGAATCAGTCAAGACGACAGCACACACAAGCTATGTGTGTGTGTGTGTGTGTGTGTGTGTGTGGCCATATGCAACATATTCTTACGTGTATTTGCTGTTGACATGCACGCATTGCCTAGCGCAGGTATATGCTCGGCCATGTGAAACGTTGAGGTATTGATATGTGTGCGTGCGTGTGTGTGTGTGTGTGTGTATGTGGATTTTCTGAGTGAGGGCATTACTTAAACTGGCGCCTTTAAAACATTTCTTCCAGCCTTCACCTATGTTACACACACACACACACACACACGTGTTGTTAATGGAGGTGTAGATTGTTGTTGTTCTTGTCATGTTGTTTAGCATGATAGTGGTGTTGTGTTATCTGTTTTAGTGGTGGTTGTTGTGGACAGGTGGTACACTGGTGGTGGAGGTACAGGTGGTACACTGGTGGTGGAGGTACAGGTGGTACACTGGTGGTGGAGGTACAGGTCCAGGTGGTACACTGGTGGTGGAGTACAGGCGGGTGCACAATGGTGGTGGAGGCACAGGTGGTACACTGGTGGTGGAGGCAGGTGGTACACTGGTGGTGGAGGCACAGGTGGTACACTGGTTGGAGGTACAGGTACAGGTGGTACACTGGTGGTGGAGGTACAGGTGGTACACTGGTGGTGGAGGTACAGGTGGTACACTGGTGGTGGAGGTACAGGTGGTACACTGGTGGAGGTACAGGTGGTACACTGGTGGTGGAGGTACAGGTACACTGGTGGTGGAGGTACAGGTGGTACACTGGTGGTGGAGGTACAGGTGGTCAATTGTGGTGGAGGTACAGGTGGTACACTGGTGGTGGAGGTACAGGTGGTACACTGGTGGTGGAGGTACAGGTGGTACACTGGTGGTGGAGGTACAGGTGGTACACTGGTGGTGAGGTACAGGTGGTACACTGGTGGTGGAGGACAGGTGGTACACTGGGTGGAGGCTGTGGTACACTGGTGGTGAGGTACAGGTGGTACACTGGTGGTGGAGGTACAGGTACACTGGTGGGTGGAGGTACAGGTGGTACATGGTGGTGGAGGTACAGGTACAGGTGGTACACTGTGGTGGAGGTACAGTGGTACACTGGTGGTGGAGGTACAGGTGGTACAACTGGTGGGTGGAGGTACAGGTACAGGTGGTACACTGGTGGTGGAGGTACAGGTGGTACACTGGTGGAGGCAGGTGGACACTGGTGGTGGAGGTACAGCACTGGTGGTGGAGGTACAGTGGTACACTGGTGGTGGAGGTACAGGTGGCTAACTGGTGGTGGAGGTACAGGTGGTACACTGGTGGAGGACAGGGTACACTGGTGGTGGAGGCAGTGGTACACTGGTGGTGGAGGTACAGGTGGTACACTGGTGGTGGAGGCGGTGGTACACTGGTGGTGGAGGTACAGGTGGTACACTGGGGTGGAGGTACAGGTGGTACACTGGTGGTGGAGGACAGGTGGTACACTGTAGGAGGCACAGGTGGTACACTGGTGGTGGAGGTACAGGTGGTACACTGGTGGTGGAGGTACAGGTGGTACACTGGTGGTGGAGGTACAGGTGGTACACTGTGGTGGAGGCACAGGTGCAATTGTGGTGGAGGTACAGGTGGTAACTGGTGGTGGAGGCAGGTGTGGTACTGGTGGTGGAGGTACAGGTGGCACTGGTGGTGGAGGTACAGGACACTGGTGGTGGAGGTACAGGTGGTACACTGGTGGTGGAGGTACAGGTGGTACACTGTGGTGGAGGTACAGGTGGTACACTGGTGGTGGAGGTACAGGTACAGGTGGTACACTGGTGGAGGTGGCAGGTCAGGGGCACTGGTGGTGGAGGTACAGGTGGTACACTGCTGGTGGTGGAGGCACAGGTGGTACACTGGTGGTGGAGGACAGGTACACTGGTGGTGGAGGTACAGTGGTACACTGGTGGTGGAGGCACAGGTGGTACACTGGTGGTGGAGGTACAGGTGGTACACTGGTGGTGGAGGCACTAGGAGGCAGGTGGTACACTGGGTGGTGGAGGCAGGTGGTACACTTGGTGGAGGTACAGGTGGTCAACTGGTGGTGGAGGTACAGGTGGTACACTTGGAGGCAAGGGCACTGGTGGTGGAGGTACAGGTGGTACACTGGTGGTGGAGGGACAGGTGGTACACTGGTGGTGGAGGTACAGGTGGTACACTGGGTGGAGGTACAGGTACACTGGTGGTGGAGGTACAGGTGGTACACTGGTGGTGAGTACAGGTGGTACACTGAGGCAGGTACAGGTGGTACACTGGTGGTGGTTACTTCAGGTGATGTCAAATATTTACGATACTTATCTGTTATGTCTCCCGTTCTTTAATACAACAACAACAACAGCAACAACAACAACAACAACAGCATCACCAGCACCATTAACAACAACAACAACAACAACAACAACAACAACAATAGCATCACCAGCACCATTAACAACAACAACAACAACAACAGCATCACCAACACCAAAACAACAACGGCGCATACCAGCACCATTAACAACAACAACAACAACAGCATCACCAGCACCATTAATAACAACAACAACAACAACAGCAACAACAACAACAACAACAACAGCATCACCAGCACCATTAACAACAACAACAACAACAACAACAGCATCACCAGGACCATTAACAACAACAACGACAATAATAAAATAAAAGAAGCATTTGTAACAATATTATTATGCTCTATCAGTACGCCTTCAAGAGCCTGTCTCGACCATAAGGCAACAATCGCTTCTAGTTTACATACATTAACTAATACATAATAACATAACCACCAATCAAATCGTAATCACAAGTTATTTTACCTGGGTGTAGTAAGGTAAGGTTTAATTAGTGACTCAAGCAGGTGCGACGGATAGTAAAGTTTCATGTAATTACTTTGTGTTGGGTTCATTTCTTATACCTGGTGATGGTATGGGTTAATTCAGGGTCTTAAACTTGGTGCCATATTAAGTTTTTGAGAGAAACTACGAAACAGAGAGAGAGAGAGAGAGAGAGAGAGAGAGAGAGATTAACACAGGTTATTTTCTCAGGTACAAGACAAGATGATGCACCAACCAGCCGTACCGATGATGGTCTCACTCGTTGTGTTTTGTACCACCTTAGTCTACCTGCCAGGTGAGTTCTTCCCGCTCTGTCCTGTTCTTTAAGAGTTATTTGTTGTTCTTTAAGATTTATTTTGTGTTCTTCATGAGTTACCAGTACATGATTATCCCTTCCCTCTGTCTGTCTGTCTGTCTGTCTGTCTTTAGCATTACTCTCTCTCTCTCTCTCTCTCTCTCTCTATATTTTCGCACTTAATAAATAACAAACAATAAGACTGACCAAATAATAACATCAATAACAAATCAAGAAACAAAAAACTTTAAAACTTTCATATAACAAAAAGTTTTTAAGCGTAATTGATAAAATTCGTCTAAAAAAAAAAACTTTACCCACCAGATCACAACATCATCGTCTAATTGGTCAAGTTTTTCTTACGAACTGCCTTAGGTGACCCACTGGCAATATCTCAGTATTTGTGTGTGTGTGTGTGTGTGTGTGTATTTTGCTTGTTCATGTGTGTGTGTGTACGTGTATCTATGTATGTATGTATACGTATATATATATATATGTATACACGAATATAAATAACTTAACTCAAACATAATTTATAATTTTTACAGGTTGTGTGTGTTCGTGGTCAAGGGCATCTCGTCACGTCATACCCCCTTCTACAGTACCTGGACCCACTCTACCTCCTGTGTTTGATCCCCTTGTGCCCACCAACGTCACCGTCACCGCCTCCAAGACCGTGTTACTGTCCTGCATCGTCCACAACCTTGGTAACAACTCCGTAAGTGGACCCCCCCAAAGTTAGTTCTATGTCAGGTCAGTCTGTCTTGACACACACACACACACACACACACGACCTTGGTGATGACTCAGTAATATAGTTAATTATTAATGGTAGTGGTGGTGGTGGTGTTAGTGGTGGTGGTAGTAGTGGGTTAGTGATGGTGGTGGTGGTGAGTGGTGTAGTGATAGTAGTGGTAGTAGGTGGTGGTGGTGGTGGTGGTGGTGGTGGTGGTGGTGGTGGTGGTGGTGGTGGTGTTGGTGGCTAGTGATGGTGGTGGTGAGGGTGGTGGTGGTGGTGGTGGTGGTGGTGAGGTGGTGGTGGTGGTGGTGGTGGTGGTGGTGGTGGTGGTGGTGGTGATTCACGGGACAAGAACATCCATTAGTAACCTCTTCCCTCACCTTCCTCTTCCTTCTTCCTTAATCCTTCCTCCTCTGCTCCCACCTTCCTTCACTGTTCCTACCTTCCTCCTCTCCTCCCTTCCTCCTCCAGCCTCCCAACCTCTCTTCTTCTTCTATTCTCTTCCTTCGTTTCTCCCATCCTCTTCTTTCATTTCCCTTTCCTTTCTTCCTTTTCCATTTCCACATCCTCCTCTCATCCTGCCTCCTCTTTCTTTCCCTCCTTCCTTCTTCCCTCTCTCCTTTCTCTTCCTCTCCCTCTTTCCTTCCTCTTCCTCTTCCTCTTCCTCTTCCTCTTCCTCCCTCGCATCACAGGACGACTTGTTAGGAATTCCAACCAGCGGCAACACGTCTGGGAATTATTTACAATTCCAGTTGGAATCCCTCTTCTTGTACTGATCCAAGAGACTTACTGGGAGTGTGGGGGTGTCAGGGGGTTTGTCAGTGTGTGTGTGTGTGTGTGTGTGTGTGTGTGTGTGTGTGTGTGTGTGTGTGGCAGGGAAGGCTTTGTGTGGGTTACACTGGGGACTGTGCTCGGCCGTAACAGGACTGAGACATAACCAAACAAGACCCATTGAAATTAATGTCTACTAGAAATCATGCCTATTAAAATGAGGCCAATTATAAATGGAGCGTATTTGAGCTAAAGCCTATTAGGCCTAGGGTCTTATAGGACCATACCTGCTCTAGCACTTTCTTCATTCTCAGTAATAATTATGTCCGCCCACCAGGTGTTACGTCTTCTTACCTGCATGTACCGGGGACACCAGCACCTGTTGGCTGTCTGGCAGGTGTTGGGTGTCTGGCAGGTGTTGGGTGTCTGGCAGGTGTTGGGTGTCTGGCAGGTGTTGGGTGTCTGGCAGGTGTTGGGTGTCTGGCAGGTGTTGGGTGTCTGGCAGGTGTTGGGTGTCTTTCTACTTTCTCTAACATCAACAAGTTTACTATGTTTAACCTTAACCAGTGTTCATTTACTCAAGCTTATCAAAAAGCTTAATCATAATGTACCTGTGTTTATGTTATCTGCCTCTACAGGTGTCGTGGATAAGACACCGCGACCTGCACATACTCTCCGTGGGTTCGGTGACGTACACAAGTGACTCGAGGTTTGAGGCGGTGCCGCATGCGGGTAAAGGTGACTGGTTGTTGAGGTTACAATACGCCCACCCGCGAGATTCTGGCCAATACGACTGCCAGGTATCTAGTGCACCGCCCACCGCCCGTACCACCCACCTTACTGTTATAGGTAAGTGCCACCTAATAAACTGCACTCGATCGAGGTTGATAATTCACACCAGGCTTATAATTGTCTTTTAAGTTGTTCTCATAACCTTTGACCTAACCTAACCTAACCTAACCTAACCTAACCTAACCTAACCTAACCACCCCCTCGTATAGAGCCACTAAAGACCACCTCTTTACCCCCTTATAGAACCACAAGCCAAGATCCTGGGAGCCCCGGATATCCACGTGGGAATGGGGTCACCAATCAACCTGACGTGTGTGGTACCTTACTCCCCCGAGCCCCCGGACTACCTGCACTGGTACCATAAGGAGCGGGTGAGTGCCACTACCATACACTATCACCACGTAAAGGTTATTCTCACTACCATCAAATACCATCCATACCATACTGTTACTACCATCATCACGACCTGTTATGGATAAAGTAAATACAATACTAATACCGCACATTATACTCTAAGCCTTTTGAAGCACATGAGGAAGCATCGTGGTCAATAATGTACTGTACCCTGGACTCGAACCTTTGACCTTAAAACAAGAGACGAGTACTGTAACCATGCAATCGGCAACCACATCCTATCACAATATACCAAATAATTATTACCAGAACGCCCTCTTTCTTTCCCCCCCCCCTTGTGTGTGTATCATTAGAACATTACACCTGCTTGACTGATACATAATAAAATACAACTAAGTTCTTTTGTAAGTCTGTCTGTGAACTTACTGCTACTTCTAAAATTATCGTATTCTAATCTCTAAGACCCGCAGAGTTTGTATACGGACGGTGGTATTTCAGGGATTAGTGTGGCCTGACCAGAGACTGTCATATATACCTCAGACACCAGAGTCGCCACTATGATATGTGAGGTCTGTCATGTGGCTCTTTGATACACGGTGTGGGTGTGTAATGTCTTAGCTGACTGAACAAATGAGACTAGGGCCTATTGAGACTAGGGCCTATTGAGACTAGGGCCTATTGAGACTAGAGCCTATTGAGACTAGGGCATATTGAGACTAGGGCATATTGCATATTAAGACTAGGGCCTATTGAGACTAGGGCCTATTTGAGACTAGGGCCTATTGAGACTAGGGCCTATTGAGACTAGGGCCTATTGAGACTAGAGCCTATTGAGACTAGGGCATATTGAGACTAGGGCATATTGCATATTAAGACTAGGGCCTATTGAGACTAGGGCCTATTGAGACTAGGGCCTAGAGTGAATGGGGCCCTATCCTACCGAGAGACATGGCATTACGTGAGGGTATCGTCTGATCTTTGGCAATTTGATAACACCATTTCCTGTTGTACTGTTATAACTCGTATGTAACATATTGATTATTTTTTTAATGCACAAAATCAAAAGTCAAGCGTGAACGCCATCAGGTAGACAGAGGCAGGTCCCGTCAGGTGGTCAAACATGGATCAGGTCTCTACCTCTACCTCTACCTCTACCTCTTCCTCTACCTCTACCTCTTCCTCTACCTTCACCTCTACCTCTACCTCTACCTCTACCTCTTCCTCTACCTCTACCTCTTCCTCTACCTTCACCTCTACCACTACCTCTACCTCCACCTCTACCTCCATATGCTATTGCCTCACTCCGGTCACTCATGGTGGTCACCTATAATGTCAAGCGTGGCCATGAGACTATACGTTTATATGTGGCCATTATGTACTCTTCGTGGTGGCCACATGCTGCCAATATGGTCATAATCGATTCATAATTGTGGACATCTACTGCTAGTACGGCCATGATAATAACCACCCCCCCCCCCCCTCTTTCGGCCACCAGGTGTTGCAAGTGTTGTATGGACAGGTTCTAATTTGTTCTTATCTGGTTATGATCGTCCTCGTGGCCACCTGCTACCACTATGGCCACTGTATACGCTTCCTCGTGGCCACCTCTTGCCACCATGGCCACAATGGGGTGGCCGTCTGTCTTGTGTAATATCTACTTTCCTTCACTCTCTCCCTCAGCCACTATGAGGTGCCCTACAAAGACTCTGTCCACCATTGATTCTCTATAACTGACAATATCAAAGGAAGGGTCACTGTACAAAGGCTTATTATGGTGGCATTGGTGGGTTCTTATATGGTGACAGTGGTGGGTTCCTATATGGTGACAGTGGTGGGTTCCTATATGGTGACAGTGGTGGGTTCTTATATGGTGACAGTGGTGGGTTAGGTTAGGTTGAGAGTTACATTCATGAGCGTGAACAAATGTTAGACACACCGGTCAGGTCAGTAGCGCTGGGTGGATGAAGGAGGCAATTTAGAGTACAAATTTTGGCGCAAATTTGAACTATTCGTAGAACAAAAAACATAAAACTATAAAAAAAGATAAATAATTCTTCTCCGATACAAGATTGAACGCTGGTCGATGTATAAATTAAACCTCGTGTCCAATATTCAGTGTAAAAGTTTAGATTACACCACACAAGTGATCACGGCTGCAGGCGGTTACAAACCATTTTCGGCATTAGGGCGGATCGGCTCTAAACTCCGGAATTTCGTTTGGAAACCCAATCACTTGCAGGTCTTCACCACGCAAACCGATACTCAATTTCCAAATTGCTTCTGAATCCCGAAAGGAAAAGCTGCTTATCTGGGTTTAGTCAGCTGAATATTTGCTTATTCTAACCGGACTGATTATGTTTTAAGCTTTTGAGGGAAGTTTTTTTTTCAAGTGGGTCTTACCGTAGCCAATGACCCGTTTGTGGTTATTCTTGTTTCTTTACTTTAAGGAAACAGTCTTTATTGGAACTGTTTTCCATACTTCTCCAGAGTAAATCTTTTGTACGATACAGACGGCGTCACCCGTTACATACAGAATCAGGAAGCTCTGTCTGGCCATATCTATGTAACTTGGTCATCATCGCCAGACACATGTTTGCTGACCTCCCACAAAAGACCACAAGACTTGACTCTCACTGAACCTACAACACACACCAACAGCTGTGTTAAGAAGCATAAAGTTTCCTGTAAAGCGGTGGTGGCAGACTGGCTCTACAGTGCTTGGTTTCTATTCTAAATGTTGCTGGTTAGCGCCCGGTACACCCCTAGTACCCCCAGCCGGGAATGGGTACCTAGTGAAGTGCAGTTCCGGCCCCACTGCCTGCTTCCGTACCTAATGTTTAGTATTTTGATTTTTGTGAACAGAAATATTAAAGAACTCGTAAAACAAATAGCATGAGATTTTGTATACAGAAGCATCGACAGACGTAAAACACAACCATCAAGGGACCCTATAAACACAACCATCAAGGGACCCTATAAACACAAACATCAAGGGACCTATAAACACAAACATCAAGGGACCCTATAAACACAACCATCAAGGGCCTTATAAACACAAACATCAGGGACCCTAAACACAACCATCAAGGGACCTTATAAACACAAACATCAAGGACCCTATAAACACAACCATCAAGGAACCTGTAAACACAACCATCAGGGACCTTATAAACACAAACATCAAGGGACCCTATAAACACAAACATCAAGGGACCCTATAAACACAAACATCAAGGGACCTTATAAACACAAACATCAAGGGACCCTATAAACACAACCATCAGGGACCCTAAACACAAACATCAAGGGACCCTATAAACACAACCATCAAGGACCCTATAAACACAAACATCAAGGGACCCTATAAACACAACTATCAAGGGACCCTATAAACACAAACATCAAGGGACTCTGTATGCAAACATCAAGGTACTTTATAAACACCCAGAACAATATATTAGTGAGGTTTCCGACACCCCATCGACTGGCCGATCAATAAGGTGGAGTGTTACGGACTATTAGTAACTACCTGCCCCTGGCCTGTCTGCCGCGGGGAGGGAAGGACCGGTGTGGTAGTAGTGTGGTAGCGTGATGGTGTGGTAATGAGGTGGTGTGGTAGAGTGTGGTGGTGTGGTAGGTGTTGTAAAGTGTGTGTGTGTGTGTGTTGCAGATGGTGCGGGAGGATGGGGTGCGGGTGTGGCTAAAGACGAACCTGGGACACAGGAGTGTAAGCCAACTGGTAGTGATGAACGCGGCGCCCCGGGATTCTGGCGTCTACACCTGTAATCCAGCCCACTCCCTCGAGCATTCCATCACCGTACACGTCCTCACAGGTAACTCAAGTTGAGTGTTTTAGGTCCACGGATGAGTTAAAAGGGGCGAGGTTAGGTTAAGTAAGCTAAATTAGGTTAAGTAGGTTAGGTTAAGTTGGAATAGGTTAACGTCACAAATTTGGCATGATTAAAATTAAGCTTGGTCAGGATAGGTTAGGTTTAGTTTAGTTAATTTACCTTAATTTAGGTAAGGCTAAGTTTGTTTAGGATTTGTTAAGTCAGGTTAGATTAGATTACTGTAAATTAGGTTAGTGGGGCATCCTCAAATGACGATTATCACCAAGGTCCATTAGTATTGAGACCCAATAAGACCTGGGGTCCCAACGCTATAGTGGTTAGGTTAGACCAAATTAGCTTAGGGTTTTCTTAGGGCAGGGCTGGGGTCTATTTAAGTCCTGGGGCTCTTTTCAACACCCACCTCAAAAAGATCAACATTAATTCTACACCACGACACAACCCTCTAATGCCTGCTATCCCTCTTCCTCCTCCTCCTCATCATCATCACCAGCTTTCTTCTCCTCCTCATCATCCATCTCCTCTTTCTTCATCATCCTCCCCTTTCATTTCCTATACATCCTTTTTGTTCTCATCATCCACCTCCTCTTTCTGTTCCTCATCCACCACACCTTCTTATCCTCTCCCTCCTCATCATCATCCTACTCTTCTCATCATTCTCCTCCTCTCACTCCTTCCATTTTGTTGTCCCTCACGTTATTTCAGTACATAACAACTAACCAATAGGCTCCAAGTCCTGTTACTCCCCATTCCTTCTTAACTCAAACCTTCCCAAGCCACAAGAATTAGGGCCTAGTCCTAATTGGGCCCCGTTTCTATATTTGGCTTATAGTTGGGGCCCACTAGGACTGAGTTCTCCTCTGGCTGGGACCTGATGACCTGCAGGACCCTATATAACTCACACTCTGACATGGTTCTCATTAACAGTACTTCCTCCCCCCCCCAGCAGGAGAGTACCCGGCAGCGATGCAAGGAGGATCGTCAGTGACCTGTGCTGGTCGTCGCGTGTGGGCACTACTGGTGACCGCTGTCCTCATCACTACAGTCACCACCTCGCTCCTCTTACCGTATTTTTATATGTAAATAAATATGTTTTGTATAAATAAAAGAGAGTTTCATTACCCGACTGACAGACATAAATTCATATGCAAAAGATTATTAGACAAAAGTTTGAGATAAAAAAGAAGATGGTGTCTGTCCCCCCCCCCAAAAAAAAATCATCGGAGTGACACTGGCATGGCACTGCACGTCACACATCCATACACTTCATGCATACCAAATTTCGTGAAAAATCTGTTCAAAATTGTTGGATGAGTTGATTTCACAATTTTTTTGACTACAGAAAGAAACTTTAGATCCCTACATACCGACGAATATATCACCACTGACCAACTGAGGTCCTTTTTCTTTCTTACGAGATAAACTTTTTCTTGCAAGATTAATTCCTTTCTTGCAGGACAAATCTTATCCTGCGTTAAGCGACTGTGACACCTTGATTGTAGGGGTTCATTTTGATATGTCTGTCTCCACTCTACTACCAAGATAATTCTTCTTTTATCTGTGTTCCCGGATTAGTTTCACCAGTCACGAGAGAGAGAGAGAAAGAGAGAGAGAGAGAGAGATATTAATGGATATATCAGTACAAGTCAGTGAATATTTATTGCTCTTTACAGGAATAAATCTACTTGAACGTCCGGTGAACTTCATAAGAAATCCAGAAAAGAAATTGACAACTTCCTCATTATTTCACGACAACGACCCCACGACTTTCTCCACTCTCCCGTATCTATATATTTTCTTGATATCAGGAAATACTTTTCATGACGACCCTACGACCTCTATACTTTTCATGACGACCCCATGATTCAAGAACCAGTTTTTCATAACGACTTCACGACTACAGCCAATCTGCTCACTGAGGTCACAGCTAAAGGTACTATCCTGCAGTGAATGTATTTACACAGACAGACACAAAACAGACACAGATAAATATACTATTATAACAACAGACAAAGAGACAGACGATCCCCCTTCCACCCCCACTCTCAAAAAAGCTAGAAAGACAGACAGAGAGAAGCAACAGACAGATAAACAGACAAACCAAAAGAACAATAGTTAAAAAGACAGAGAGAGAGAGACAAACAGAGATGTTCCCTTGGTTGTGTGTGTGTGTGTGGGTTGTAGTGGTGATGGAAGGTCATGTTGGCTCACACAGAGGATGAGATAAGCCCCTCGACCTATCACCAGCTCCACTGATCGACAGGAAGGCAAGTGTGTAGGGGTAGGGTGTGAGGTGCTGACGTGTAGGGGTTGAGGGAAAATAAGGGTTACAGTCCTAATACCCAGCCCCCTTAACTATTGTTTATAAGGGAAGAGACAGCCCCCTTAACCATTATCAATACTAATTAGGTTTAGTTAAATTGTGTTAACTTAGGTAATGGCGAGGTTAAGTTACAGATAGGTTAAGTTACAAGTAGGTTATCTTATAGGCTGGTTAGATTATGAGCAGGTTAAACTAGGGGAAAGTTCGGTTAGGGATAGTTTAGACTAAGGTAGGTTATGGTAAGATAGATTAGTGTTAGGTTAGGTTAGGGGTAGGGTAAGCTAGGGGTAGGTTAGGTTATGGTTAAGGTAGGTTAGAGTGGCAGTAAAGTAGATTAAGTTTGTTACACCAATCACAAAGTAGAAGAACAATCAAATTACAAGGTCATACAAATTTTAAGTATTTCTGGACGGCGAAAAGAAACTTCACTCTCCCCTAACACGCAAATTCACTTCGGCTTTGGCAAGAGGGCAGGTGATCCATCTTCCTCAGGGCACAAGGGCACATTAATCCTGAAGGGCAAGCCTGGTATCTTTCTCCTGCTGAGTACAATAGATCATGCTAGTAGAGAAAGCAATATATCATGCTTTGAAGGTGGTGAGGGGGGGGGGAGCAATCCATACTAAGAAGCAGCTTAAAGTCTCGTTCCTTTGTCCACCTGAGAGAGACAACAGGTGGGTGGTGACTGGACGCTAATCCTAAGACAGGTACAGGTTAAGTGAAAAAGGTAACCTCGTCGTAAGGTAAGTAGGAAAACTGGTCAAGCTGGAAGACTAATTCAGTGATGTAGTTGAGGAAAGATTTGATTACTTGATATATTATAGAAATTTGACTCCAGCATTACATTACCTCCAACATCACACTACCCTCCAGCACCACACTACCCTCCAACACCACACTACCCTCCAACACCACACTACCCTCCAACACCACACTACCCTCCAGCACCACACTACCCTCCAACACCACACTACCCTCCAACACCACACCCTCCACACCTACCCTCCAACACCACACTACCCTCCAACACCACACTACCCTCCAACACCACTACCCTCCAGCACCACTACCCCTCCAAGCACCACACTACCTCCAACACCACACTACCTCCAGCACCACACTACCCTCCAACACCACACTACCTCCAACACCACACTACCCTCCAGCACCACACTACCCTCCAACACCACACTACCCTCCAACACCACACTACCCTCCAACACCACACTACCCTCCAGCACCACACTACCCTCCAACACCACACTACCCTCCAACACCACACTACCCTCCAACACCACACTACCCTCCAACACCACAACACCACTGGAGGATAACTTCTACAGCGTCTTACACTACAAAGCGGGTTAAGGTGTCTCTGGTGATTAACTAACACTGACGCGTTCTTTTCGCTGTTATTGTTCTTGTGTCCAGGATAACATAACTTAATTCCACGTATTAAGTGATTTTTTGTCTTTGTTATCTCTATTTATATCAACAGGTGTAAAGGGGGAAAGTATCATTCACTTGAACCTGTGTTTATTTGTTGCTGTTATTTACGATTTGTTTATCTGTTTGTGTATTTGTTATTGTGTTTTGGTAGATGATCACATGAAGATTAGCCCCCCTTGGTTTATTTCAACTTAACCTAACCTGAACCTAACCTAACCTAACCTAACCTGAACCTAACCAAACCTAACCTAACCTAACCTAACCTAACCTAACCTAACCTAACCTAACCTAACCTAACCTAACCTAACCTAACCTAAGCCCACCCAGGTAGCATTAAGGTGATTAATCTTCATGTAAAAAAAATCTGGGGTATCTAATCCTAAGGTGATTCAGATAGATGTAAACAATAATCTGATTAGGAAGTTAATGAGAGCTACGAGGAACGATAGTTAGACAAGGTTAGTTGTTTGTATGTACTGATGCCAAGCCTTAGAGCAGCGAGACGTGAGGTTGAGGGTGAATTGTAAACCACTGTGACGCGTGAGTATGGTGAATATAACACAAACAATATTATGGTGTTTCAACAATGTATCGATATTATACAATGAAGGAGTAAGTCGAGTGAATTAACAGAAGAATAATGAATAGATTAAATAGTGTTTTAACATTGTACCGATAATAAGAGACAGCATAATTTAGTCTCTCTCTCTCTCTCTCTCTCTCTCCCTTGTCGCGACTCGTCCCTTAAGGTTCCCAACAGCAATACTCTGGACGGGTCTGGAAATACGTTGTTGTTTTTCTTTGTTTAAGGTAATGTATTGCCTTTATGGCCTGTGTGTGTACTTAGGGGATACTGAGTGTTATTTGGGGGGGAGGAGGGAGTGTAGGAAGAGGAGGGGTGGGGGGAGGTGGGTAGGGAAGGGGTGTGGGAAGGGGTCTCTTTCTACTCCTCTCACCAAGACAAAGTGACCATCGTGTTAAGAGGGCCTTTGGTACCCTGTTCTAATAGGTCCCTCTAACACTAGGACGGGCCATTTAAAACTGTAGGCCAATAAGTCTGGATTCCGAAAGTTAAAATTTGGGTAGTGTCTATTAGGACATGGGCCTATTAGAATTGAGGACTATTAGAAATGAGGTCTATAGTCTAAGGTCTATGAGATCTTGGCCCTGTTAGATTGGGGCCTACTAGGTTAGGTTAGGTTAGGTTAGGTTAGGACACAGGTGTTAGTACATAAACCATTAATTTGGTCAGCTAAAGGTAGATTGAATTTGACGTAGAGTAGGAGAAGGTAGGGGTAGGTTAGGTTAGGGGTACAGTAAATCTGGATATGGGTAGGTATTCAAAACTCCAGGACGGACGCACAGACGGACGCAAACTCAGACGCATGGCCTGACGCATTAATATATAATGCCTAAATGCACCACTAGAGGCAGTGTCGGACAACAAAGTGTGTTCAGGTATGTTGTGATGAGGTCATTAAGGCTGACTCTCAGGTGCACAGGTAAGCACTCGTGGTATTCCCCCTGTGGGTCATCACGGGCCGACTGTACCTGATGGTCAATGATCCTGGTGGGAAATGTCCATACTTCTGGTAAAGGAAACCTAACCTAACCTAACCTAACCTAGACTATCCTAACCTAACCTAACCTAACCTAGACTAACCTAACCTAACCTAACCTAACCTAACCTAGACTATCCTAACCTAAGGTATGTAATATTGGAGTGATAATGATTTTCCTCATTATAATCACCATCGTCATAATGAATAAAGAATATATTAAAGGTTTTATATTATTACAACTGATCTTCTTTTGACCGTCTCACTGACTCTAGATTATATAACCAATAATATATGTGTGTGTGTGTGTGTGTGTGTGTGTGTGTGTGTGTGTGTGTGTGTGTGTTAAAGATATATCTCCACTACGTTACATTTTAATAAGGTGTCCCACAAATCACGTCTTGAAGGTCACATGTTTTAAGTGTAGCAGGTGAGGGAGGTGAGGTAGGAGGGATGGGAGGTGAGGTAGGGAGGGATAGGAGGTGAGGTAGGGAGGGCTAGGAGGTGAGGTAGGGAGGGCTAGGAGGTGAGGTAGGGAGGGCTAGGAGGTGAGGTAGGGAGGGATAGGAGGTGAGGTAGGGAGGGCTAGGAGGTGAGGTAGGGAGGGATAGGAGGTGAGGTAGGGAGGGATAGGAGGTGAGGTAGGGAGGGCTAGGAGGTGAGGTAACCATACATTCAGTACATACATACTCGTACGTCCACCCAAATATCACTTTACAATACCTATCTATAACAC